TCTCGTCCCCTAGAAAACCCTTTGTTGCAAATGCACCGCTGTAACCGTCTGACGACTGCAGATCTACTGGACCAACCTTTCCGCAGGCAAGAACCAACCCAAACATGCAAATGTGCAGGGAAGCGCGAACGCTCCCCCAAACGCAAAAATTATGCTGTTGGCCAATCCCAACTCGGGAATGCCACACAGGTCAGCCTAGCCGAAAGTGCAATGGCCAAGCCTCACCATGGAGGTCCCGTCTTCATGATCACGAGAATCCTCCCAGCCAGGTAAGTTTAAGAGCGGTCGTCGTCACTGAGGTCCTACATTTATCCATTCAACTTTAAACGGGTTTTGCTCTGCTGCGCAACGCACTTCTCTGTTTTCTTTTACTGCAAAATTGTTCTCTCTCTGCGTTAGTTCACTCACTTCGGGTAAGACGCATTGCTTTAAATCTCTGTTTCGATGTGCGTAATCAACGGCGCCAATCGACTGTGGTTTCATCTCTGATTTCTCCCCAATTTTTTCTATTTTTTTCATTTCTTTTCTCCAAATGGTTAAAACGCTAATAGCAGTATAATATTTGAAATGATCATTTTTAAGTTTACCGAATTATCAGGTTGCTGCGTACGATTCAGGTTAGTGCAATAACAATAAACGGCTAGACTACTGAATAAAATTTAAGTTTTTTAATTCTACTTCTCGACAGTTTATCTGATGAATATTTATAATCTTTTCGGTTTTCTTCTAAATGTTTTTTTTTGTTAGTTTAGTAAATATGAAATAAAAGATCATAAGTGCAAATTCTAATAATACTTTTCGATTGAAATAAATGTGAGATATTCCTGTTTAGTGGTTATTCACTTCTTTTCTTGACAGTAAACAGACAGGAACTTCACCGTTTAGAAGGAAGAATCGAACTTCAAATCGTCAAAATTTCTTAACCATACTAGTCCAACAGTTTCAAAAAATTGAATGTGTTCATTACAACAGAGGCGTTAAAGAAATTATTCAAAATACTGTTTTAATTTCATAAACAAAACATCAGAACACAGCTATTCTTATGCAAAAACGTTAGCCAAATCGCATGCTGTTACTGCGATATAAAAATTGTCTTATTCTTAAGCCTTTAAAAGATATGCTTAAAAAATCAGTTTTTGAAAACGTCCATAGAATCAGTTGGCTCATACTTTTATGTAGTTTTAGCTGCACTTCTACAACTGCAGAAAAATCAGACTAATTTGAAGTTTTAAAAAATCAAATTACCCAAGAAAGTAATATTGTTTGCTACAGCCAACAGTTAGTTCTTGGCAGGCATACATTTGAATCTGGCAAATGCAGCTTTCTCCAGACTCTCACGACAGTCCGGATGAGCAATTCGTATCAGTTCATAGGCCCGTTGGCGAACTGTTTTACCCCATAACTCTGCTATGCCATATTCTGTAACCACGTATCGTACATGACCCCTTGTTGTAACTACTCCAGCACCCTGCAAAGCAGGTTCTGAATTCACTGAAGAAGAGGAAGCAGTAAAAACCTCAGCTTCTGCCGAGCAATTTTTTCCTAATAAAACCCTAAATTGCAACAATTGATAGATGGGTGGAAAATAAACCTCATGCAGTAACGGTACAATTTTAGATTCGCCTTTTGGGGTTCTGGAAGTTATAGCAATGATTGCTTTGCCATCGCGATCATCAGCTACTGAGGTACCGTAGATGAAGTCGACCTGACCGCCGAACCCTTAATTAGAAAAAGGTAGCAAAAATACAGGTGAATCAAGTTTAGGCAGACTGGAAGACTTAAACACTTGAGGGAAGAAGTTGTTTTGTAGATTTAGTAATCACCTGAATAAAATTTCGTTCCTATAGAGTCGGAGGATACTTGACCGGTTAGGTCAACCTCAATTGCCGAGTTAATACCTGTCATTTTGTGTTGTTTTCTGATTATTTGGACATCATTAGTATATGCGCATGAACGAAACTCTAAAATATCTTTCGTTTTTCAAAAACATCTGAATGAAATCTGAGAGGTACAGTAGTAGACAAAATAAACGAATGCATTCAAGGTATTTTGCATAAATTTTTTTGTTTTTTTTTTGGTCGTGATTTTCAGCAAAAAATTAAGAGTTTTTGATGACTCGGGTGGAAACTTTTAGGCTTTTAACTGTCATATCAAGCAATAAATAGTTCATATGTCGTATAGTTTGTGAAGAACAAGCAGACTATAGTCATGAGAAGACCCTATGGACAAGTAGTTAAATCATGCTAATTTGACAACGAGTTACTGGTCGTTGCAAGACGAACCAAAAACAGGATTGCCGTCGACAAAATCATAAAGGTCTCGAGTTCCAACGGCAAAACTTGTTACAACTTTGCCTTTATGGAGGCTTTTGCAAGAATTGTTAACAACGCCTAGCTTAATAAGCTCTATTACACCATCGCCCATCATTTCTGTGTGTATTCCCAAGTTCTTGTGACCTTTCATTGCAGAAAGTGCTGAATCAGGTATTGCACCGATTCCTGGAACAGTAGTCATTGTTAACTTTTGTTTTTCAAACCTAGAATAAACTTACCCAACTGCAAAGTTGCTTCATTGTCCACCAAATTTTCAGCAATGGTCTTGCCTATGGCGGCTTCTTTTTCATTGACTTTGAGCTCTAATGGGTTGATGGTGAAGATATCCTGCTGATCGTCGCGGACCATTGCATCAAAATGTGACTCATGTATTAAAGTATCTCCATAAGTGAACGGCAGTTTTTTGGTGACTACAGCTAAAAAATTTTTCGAAGGTAAAACAAAGCTGTTTTTTCATAGCACTAAAGATTTATTACAAAATTAGGATTTTTTTATAGCAGTGTTATCGTCTGCGAATTATAAACTGTTAGCGAGCAGCTTTTCAAATTAGAACTAATTAGGTGAACTAGCAAACTAAAATATTATTGAAAAATACTGAATACATAAGACATGTTAATTATTTAAGCTATAAGAATTTTTAGACAGTTGCTAATAGCGGTCGAATATAATGGTTAGACTTGCCGATAATTTTCCTGGCTGCTTTTAAGGCATCGTATGCACAGGTAATATCCACTCCCAAACTGCAGTACCCATTTTTATTTGGTGGAGTTACTGTGCATAAAGCAACATCAACAGGTAACCTTGTTGTCGTAAATAAACTTGGGATTTCTGATAAAAATACAGGTGTATAATCGGCAAAACCTAAAGCACAAAAATTTATTACCAAAGGTGAACATCAAAAATTAGCAAAAAGTATCAAAAAGCTTTAGAAAATATTTGCAAAAGTTACATGCTATACTTTAAAACGTGCTAATTTATTCATTAAGGATATAAGATTGGTTTAACGGAAAAAAATTATATGTGCCATTTGACACTAATTATCATTATTTGACTCAGACCAACGTTAACAATTTTTTTCGTTCGAAGTAAAAATTTAAAATATTGAATTGCAAATTTTTTCAAAAATAGTGAGGTAAATAAAATACCTTCATTTACGGAGTTACGTAGCGCATCACAAATGAACAAACAGTTTGAACGAATTTTTCCTAAAAATTAAGTGGTTTACGGAATGCTTACGAAACATCAACTACCGTCAGGAGAACAGCAACCGAATGGAATTAAAATAGAAATTTTTGGCAATTATTGTATTCTGATGAAATTCTGATGAACAAAAGCAGCGAACCATGAAATTCCGGATTTACCCACGGAAGTTCTCCAGTTAACAAAATATGGTTGAATCGTAACCTATCAAGTCTTCCACTTTTGACCTGTTGACATACCTCGTTAAGAAGCACATTAGGACTGCTTGGTGTTCCGTGTACAAAAATATTGGAATCTAAAGCAGAAATATGCGAAGTTTATAGTGAGTTTCGCGAAAGCTATAAAAACAAAATCTTTCAAGTGTTAACCAGTGTGTTTGTAAATGGTGAGCAGATTTTTTAGCAATTTTTAAAGTAAAAATTCTTTAAAGAGCACTTTCAAAAAGCAACTAAATTATCAGTAAAAAGCGCATTTACAGTTTCTACTGGGTAAAATCAGTTAACTAAACCTGAGTGAATCAACGAAATAGCTTCTGTAACCGAAACATATTTTGACGGTTGATTATGCACTGGTGAAGTCAGAAGACGTAACGGAGCACTTTTTTCCTGCACACTTTATTGTATAGAGTTATTAATCAGTAAAAACTAAATAAATTTATTTAAACATTTTACCTGATTAGAAAGTTGTCGAGAAATCCGACAAATGTGCTGAGCCTTTTGAACGGTTCTTTGTAACAATTTCATTGAACTACAAAATTGGTAAAGACAAAAATAACAAAAAAAAAAAAAA